GAGATGGGGTATCACTATGTTGCCCAGGCTTGTCTTGAACTCCTGGACTCAAGTGATCTTCCTGCCTTGGCCTCTCAAAGTGCTAGGATTACAGATATGAGCCACTGCGACCAGCCTGGAGAGTAGTTAATTTAAATAATTAACTTTATTACTTTTTCTCAACAATTTGAGACCACTGAAATCTATAGCACTTCTTAGATTTGGATCTGTTCCTCTTGCTTGTCTTTCCTTCTGTAGAAGACTCTTTTGCAATGATGACTTAATCACACAGATGCCAACAAAGCTGCATGCTTAAATAAATACCTTGCTTTTTCAAAGCAACACTATGGTCACAATGAATATTTCACTTTTCATCATTCTATACTTTTGCATAGTTTTTCTCTTCTCAGATTATTCAAATCCACTCAGCAAGGGCCAAAGATACAGTGCACTCTCCTTGAAAACAAATTAATTGGAAGGCCATTAGGTTGAGATGGTGCTTTGGGTCCTACATAAGGAAAACAAAACCCAACTCAGTATAAATAGTAAAAGGAAACTTAGGCGTGATCAATCAGAAACCACCAATTCACCTCCAACTGGAGACGTTACCAATCAGAAACTGCCAACTAACCTCCAACTAGACACTTACCAATCAGAAGCCATGAATTAACCTCCATCTGGGGACTTCTACTCTAACCAATCAAATGTGTCTTGCTTGTGCAAACACCTTACAAAATAAGCAGCCCCCTTGAGGGAGCCTAAACCTTTGTGGTTTGGCACTGATTCATGAATCTGTTTGCTTAAGTAAACTCCCTAAAATTTTAATGTGGCTAATTTTATCTTTTAACATCCTTCATCCTCTCAGTTCCCCGCTACTGTTTTAACATGTCACATGACTCATTTAAAAGTGAGGCTGGGCCAGGCCTCCCCCAAGAGCCCATTGATAGAATTATGCAAGAGGAATGATGAATCAGAAGTAGGTGAGGTTCTCCGAGGCCTCAGAATCTGAGTTCACCACAGAAGCAAAAGCGCGCAGGCCACGGCTCTGGCTGAGCACACACCTCAGGGCAGGTGTTAGGAAGAGGGGGCCTTGCAGGCATCTGGTGGCAGCACTCTGGGGCCACCTGGCAACTGGACATGACAAAACGACCACTGAAGGCTCCCAGGGCAAGCAGCGCCTGGGGCTCTGGCCCTTTGTCTGTTAAATCAGTGGTCCCAACCTTTTTGGCACCAGGGACTGGCTTCATGGAAGGTAATTTTTCCAGACTGAGGGGTGTGGTGGTTTCGGGATGATTCAAACGCATTGCATTTACTGTGCACTTTATTTCTATTATTATTACATTGTTAACCTCTATGCTAATGGTCATCTGTTTTTGCAGCTGCTCCCCAGCGCTAGCATCACCACCTCAGCCCCCTCTCAGACCATCGGGCATTAGATTCCCATAGGGAGCACGCAGCCTAGACCCCTCACTTGGGCAGTTTACAGCAGGAGTTGCGCTCCTATGAGAATCTAATGCCACCACTGATCTGACAGGAGGCAGAGACAGGCGGCAATGCCAGCGAAGGGGACTGGCTGTAAATACAGATGAAGCTTCGCTCTGCCACTCACCTCCTGCTGTGCGGTCCGGTTCCTAACAGGCCAGCCATGGACTGGCACCAGTCTGCAGCCCAGGGGTTGAGGACTACAGCGTTAATGGACGAGTGATGAAGAAATAACCCCCTGACTAAGGAAGTCACTGCTGTGAGCAGGAAGGGATGATCTGTGAGCAGAGGCAGTCCAGGAAATACTGGACAAGCCTGCTTGGCCACAGAGAAAGCAGGGCATGAGGGCAGATGGATGGCACCTGGCTCTGGTGGCCTCTGGCATACATATGCTGTCCTGAGCTGATGCTGGTGACAACAGGAGCCTGCTGCCATCTAGCAAAGCAAGATTTAAAGTTGAGGGTAGGGAAAGAGCGTAGGGGGCGGGGGAAGGGTGAGGAAGCTCAGCAAGAACCCAAACTGGTGACTAGGACCTGGATTAGGGCACCAGCCCAGGGAGATGGAACGGAGGGCCAGGGAACAGGATGAGAACGGGGGAGGCAGAGGAGGGAGCAGCACTGTGACCACAGAGTGTCAGACCTGGGTAACAAGGAGAGCAGAGGGTGAAGGTCGTAGGACAGAGTAAAGCACAGGTTTGGGAGGGCCCTTGGGTGAGAAGGCAGGAGGCCTGGTAAGAGGCAGGAGAACGCACCTGCCTCAGGTAGCTGGCACCAAGCCAGACGCTCTCCACGCTCAGGAAGGCTAGGAACTGAGTGAGAAGACACTGCCTCTGCCCTCAAGACCCCACACACCCGGGGCTAAAAGCAAGAGGCTTCAGCGCAGAAAGAAGGCAGGCAACTCCTGTCCCTACTCTGGGCCCTGAAGACATTCTTGAAGATGTCCTTGGGGGAAACAGGCCAGGCGGGAGCTTGCTCTGTATCACAGCTTTGCCCCGTTCCCCTCGCGGTGAGGCTGCCCTCCCCTCCCTGGCACTTTTGCCCAAAAAGTCCTGCAGAGCCCCCATAGCCTTGTGCTCCTCGCCTGATAGGGAATATCGTGTCTCTGCCTGCCCGGTACTACAGCAGGGCCAAACATCAGTCCTCAGTGAACGTCTGCTGGACAAATACACAGAAACGTGAGGTCGCCTCTATCTCACAGGTAAACACAGCCTTCCTTTCCTTTTCCTTCCTCCCTGAGCTGACTGTTCCATCCTCATCGTCCCCTGAACTGTCAGTCGCTCTGGGAATAGCTGCAGTCCTGCTGCCTTTGGGCCTCACTGTCTCTGGCAAGCCCCTGGGCCTGGCCAGGCCCTCACTGCTGCCAGGAGGGGCTCACACTCCTCAGGGCAGGCCCCGCCTAACTCCTCCTCAACCCCATCCCTCCCCACGCGGCAGGGGCCCTGTGGACTCCTCTCAAGTTCTGCAAGGTGCTGCCCAGTTGGCCGAAGCACCTCCCCAGGCTCAGCTTTCTCCCGCCTCCGCACAGCACAGCTCGGGCTTGTGTTCCTGCAGCCTCGTCTCTCGCTGGGTCTCGTATCATCTGCAGTTCCCCACACCGGTCACCGGCCCCGCTGGGATGGTCTATCGCCAGTGCTAAATGCTGTTTCCACCCTGCTTCTCCTCCAAGTGCTCACCGACTTAGGTCAAATGACTGTTTAATAAATAAGTTGCTTGAGTAGAATGGAAAATGTTTATCTTTTCTATTTAGAAAACTTAAATGTCCCCAAACCACACAGACTATGTAGACAGGAAAATGTACAATTTAAAAAGACCACCAGTTTTAAAAACTATGCCTGACCTGGCAAAGCATTCTGGAGCAGTTTTTGAGACCACTAGTCTGGGAATCAGTCTAGGCCCAGCAATGCCCCGGCCAACAGCCTCGGGTAGAACACTCGCCAGCTGTGTCTCAGTGCTCTCACCTTTGCGGAATGATCTACTCAAGTTCTGTGGTGCCTTTGCCCCGTGGGAGGCTGCATTCGTTCTCCCACAAGTGAGCCTGGGTACAATTAAACATGATGTGTTAAGTCTGAAAGTTTCAACTCAGGCTTTCAGATGCAACATTGTTTCCAATGCCACATGTTCATTGGCAAGGAAGGCTGGCCACAGTGTGCAGGAATGACCCACAAAGTACAGGCATAGATATGCATGCACAGCAATGCAAAACAGTGCGTTATTTATTGAGCCTGCAGATGTGCCGGCACCATGCAAGCATTTTAGGGAGCTGCCTTTGCTTAAAATGCATGCCAGCCCCACAGGGTGGTACCATCACCATGCACATTTTACAGGTGGGCAACAGCTGGTGCAGAGCAGCAGTGATCACTGAGGTTGACAGTGATGGGGTTGGGATGGCACCTAACAGTCTGACCCCAGAGCTTGCTTCTAGCCATTAGAAAAACAGACAGACACCGCTTCTGGAGTATTTATGGAAAAGTATACACAGATAGGAAAGTCTGAATATTTGAATTTCAGCAATGTTTGATCATCTTACCAAAAAAAAAAAAAAAATCCAGCAGCCTGACTATTCCTTAATGGTAAAGAGCTTCAGGTACACAGCATTCACTAAGCCTTTGTAAAGTGCCCACATAAAAGCAGAATGGGGACACCGACTACATCAGGTAGGTATAAGGTGCCCGTATCCGGGTTAACTTATGTACTGAGAACGGTAGTAGGTGTCAGACACTTGTTCTAGCATTGGAGCTGGGAAGCCTGGCCTTCCTCCTTACTGGAATGTAAGATACAAGGAGAAAGTAGAGAGGCTTATAAACACCTAATGAATTCTTCCTCTATCTCCAGGAAGTGGGTATTTTAAGGTGGTTCAACTTTCTCTGCTGCAGAGAGATCCTTTCGAAAACAGAAAACGAAAGATTTAGAAGTCATCTTTAGGACTCCACCTGTTAAGGTTTGAGGTTGCTGCATGGAAAGCCATTATGCAAGCCCTGGGGCCCCCTGCATTTTGTGGAGGTGAAGGACCCTGAAAGAGACCAAGCTTGCAGTGGGGAAATCACAAAGTGAGTTTAGGAGACCAGGCTTCCAAGCTGCAGCTGGATCATTCGGCTAGGAGAAAACAGCTCCACCACCAGTTTCACCACCAAAGATGCCGAAAGGAGCAACGGCAGGAAAAGAGCAATAATACACGACGGACAAGGCGACGTGAGACCACCAGCACTCTACTTTGGACCCCTAATACTTTGGGCCCTGAAGTCTGGATCTGAGGGAACAAAACCAAGGATTATTGTACAGCTAACACTTTCCAGATCAAAGCTGCACAACTTTTCTATCACTCCCTTTCACCTTTCAATCCTTTCTAACCGTCTCCCGCTTTCCCCAGACTAATCCCTACTTGTGTCTCAACTGGATTCCGGAGCCAGGGGCACGGGACAGCACCCGCGGCCGGCGGGGGAAGGGACCAGCGCGGAGAGGACGCCCGGGGGGGGGGGCGGGCAGGGGCGCAGGGCAGGAGGAGAGCCCGGGGGAGGCGCAGGCCGGGGCCCGCGACGTTACCGCTGCGTGTAGTGGGCGAGGAACATGGCCAGCAGGACGCGGTTGGGCGCGCAGCGGAGGCGCTCGGGCGACGCGCGGGCGCACTGGTACAGCGGCACGGCCAGCGAGGGCAGCTCCTGCACGGCCCAGGCGGCCCTGGCCGGCACCCGGGGCCCGGAGCTGGCCGAGGAGTAGCGGCCGTAGGGCGGGCCCACGAGCGAGAGCGCCGCGAAGCCCAGCAGCGCCAGCAGGCACTCCAGGTAGGCGAGCGCGTCCAGCGGGGGCTCCTGCGCCAGCGCCAGCGCCATCGCCGCGGAGGAACGGCTCGCCCCATGCCCCGGCGCCCGCGGCGGCCCACATATAGGGCGCCGGCGAGGGGCGGAGGCGCGGCTCTCTGATGCCCGCGAGCCTGCGACGCCCTCGCACCGGGGCCGCGCCCAGACCCCGCCGGCCGGCCCCGCTGTCGCGCCGGGCGGGGCGGGGACTGGCACCTGCGTGGGCGGGGCCTGCCGCGGGCCCGCCCCCGCCCGGCCGCCGGAGCCCCGCCCCCACGCCGCTCTGCGCACGCGCCGGCCTCGGGCTGCCCGCGGAGCTGCCTGAGCCCGCGTGCGAGACCCGGCCGTTCCGCGCGGGGACGCCCTTGGGGCTGTTCCCCGGAGCCTTTCTCCCCCTCACGGCTGTCTGCAATTTTCTGTCGCACGTTGTCTTCCGGGAGGGCGGACTGCGCCGCTTTGGGCTCAGTTCTCGAGGGTCCCTGCAGGCTCCGGAAGGGACCGGGCCCAGACGCGTGGGGTCCTCGCGTTCGGACCGGAAGTGCGGCGCGCAGCCGGGGCAGTGGCGGGCAGGTGTCTGCGAGCGGCCTGCGCGGCCGCGTGGGCCATGGGGCGGCGGTCGCGGGCCCGGCGGCTCCAGCAGCAGCAGCGGCCCGAGGGCGCGGAGGATGGCGCCGAGGGCGGCGGGAAGCGCGGCGAGGCGGTAGGAGCCGGGGGCGGCGGGCGGGCTGGGGCCCCGCGTGTGCCTCCCGGACCCCGGGCCTGCGGGGCGGCTCCTCGGGCCTCGGGGTACGACGCCTTTTCCTTCCGCAGGGCTGGGAAGGCGGGTACCCCGAGATCGTCAAGGAGAACAAGCTGTTCGAGCACTACTACCAGGAGCTCAAGATCGTGCCCGAGGGCGAGTGGGACCAGTTCATGGGCGCGCTCCGGGAGCCTCTCCCGGCCACTTTAAGAATTACCGGTTACAAAAGGTGAGGGGCTGTTCATTTTCTTGGGAATTGGGGCTAGGATGCCCGATGTTAAAAGCGAGGCGGTTTTCTCCCAAATTTTATAGTGCCAGCGAACGTTGCATATCAGCGATGTAGACTCGGGGATCATTGAAGAGGGAGCACAAGGGTCTGATGACATAGAGACGTATTGCAGGTGAATGGTTAGAATAAGAAATGGAAATATAATCAGAGAAAGGTTTGGATTCTGATTATTGGTGAACTGAGGATCCTACAAGAGAATTTATGACATCAAATATGGATGAAATCATCTGGTCTTTTTTTTCAGTCTTTATAGTTAAATTTCTGCAAATAAGTTGCAAGTGAGAATGAAACCATAGGTGTATTTGGAATAAACACAGTTTTGTTTTTCGGGATCAAACAATGAAGATTCTTTAAATTTTGAAGGGATAGGATACAGGAAAAAGACGATGACTAAAGAATGTCTTCCCTCTATGCAAAGTTGGATCTAGTTTTAAAACACCTGCGGTTTTAAAAAGATACAATGTATTAAATTAGCTTTTTAGACTAATTTGAAACTTTGTTATGTTTTAATAGCCATGCAAAAGAGATTCTCCATTGCTTAAAAAACAAGTATTTCAAGGAATTGGAGGACTTGGAGGTGGATGGTCAGAAAGTTGAAGTTCCACAGCCACTGAGTTGGTAGGTATCGTCACACTTAATCATGTTGTTGAGTATTTCCTTTTTTCCTTTTTTTTTGAGACAGAATTGACAGAGTCTCACTTTCTTGCCTAGGCTAGAGAGTGCTGTGGCGTCAGTCTAGCTCACAGCAACCTCAAACTCTTGGGCTTAAGCGATCCTCCTGCCTCAGCCTCCTGAGTAGCTGGGACTACAGGCTGCTGTGCTGGGCTAATTTTTTTCTGTTTTAGTTGTTTGGCTTAATTTTCTTTCTATTTATAGTAGAGACAGGGTCTTGCTCTCGTTAAGGCTGGTCTCAAACTCCTGAGCTCAAGCAATCTTCCCACCTCGGCCTCTCAGAGTGCTAGATAACAGGCGTGAAACACCGTGCCTGGCCTTTCCGTTTTTTAAAATTTATTTTTTTTAATTTTTTAATTTATTTCGTGAGTAGATGCTGACAGACATGTTGGGTATTTCTTTGGGATGTTAATGTCTGTCACTTGAATGTATGTCTTGGTACTGCATTTGCTATTAACACAAAATAACCTGAATGTATTTCCAGATATCCTAATGTTCTTTTACCCAATGCTTTCATTGACATTATGATGTTATGCAGATTTTCATAGATATTTTACAGCTGTCTATTTGAGACACTAAGTTCAGTTAACTCTTCTTAGTAGATCCAGCCTCTTTCTTTCCTTGATATTACCACTTCTACCATCTCCATGTTACGGCCTTTGTTTTCTCACCTCAAAACTTTTGCAGAGTATGTTCTCTACCTTCAGAAAAAGGACAGATGTAACCTGAGGAAAGGTCACCACAGTCTGCTGTCAGGTAGTCTCCTGGTAGTTCTCAGTGTAGACTGGGGCTGGTCCATGCAGTCTCCCACCGCCTCAGCATCCAAGCACATTGCTGCTTTCAGTGTTGCCCTTTCCTTACTTGTCCTGGAGGATCTGGACTACCTGTTCCTCCTGGCCCAGTTCACATCTGGGTTGTGTGAAGGTGATCCCTTGTGCCGGCAGCACAGGTGTCTTGTAAAGTGCCTGGAATACTCTGGAGGTGCCAAGCCCTGGTTAATTTATACATGTAGAAGTTATTAAAGGAAAAATGTTATGGTTTCATATTTCAAATTATTGAGTTTTCAGAGTAAAAAAGAAATGTTTTAAATAATTTTTATAAAAAGATCAATTAAGCATTTTATGTCAACCCTTGAGGTTTGTTTTTTTTTTTGGAGACAGAGTCTCACTCTTGTTGCCCCGGCTAGAGTGCCATGGTGTTAGCCTAGCTCACAGCAACCTCAAACTCCTGGGCACGAGCAGTCCTCCTGTCTCAGCCTCCAGAGTAGCTGGGATTACAGGCATGCACCACCACGGCTGGCTAATTTTTTTTTTATATATATTTTTAGTTGTCCAATTAATTTCTTTCTATTTTCTATTAAATTCTTTCTAATTTCTTTCTGCAACCTCAAAATACTCAAGCTCAAGCCCTCCTGAGCAGCTGGGACTACAGGCACTGGCCACCATGCCCAGCTAATTTTGCTATTTTTAGTAGAGATGGGGGTCACACTCTTGCTCAGGCTGGTCTCAAGCTCCTGGGCTCAAGCTATCCTCCTGCCTCAGCCTCCTGGGGTGCTACAATTACAGGCGTGAGCCATGACACCTAGCCTGTTGTATTACCTTTTTAGGTAGCCTTTAGTGATTACAAACCAAGGTCAGATTTTCATTAATCATGGGTTACAGATTTGCTTGCTTTTCTTTCATTGACGTATGGACTTCAGTTTCCATGTCACAGACAGGCACAGCATACACATTTGAATGAGTGCTGACTGGCCAAACTAAATTGATATTCAGCCATTATCATAGTCAAATGTACCATTGTTGAATGTGTTTCTAGGTTAAATTTGCAATTTTCTTCCAAAAAATTCAGTGGTGGTTTTTTAATGATATATTTTCGTCAGATTTTAAAAGCTTGAAGGGTACAGTACAGGAAAGTGATTCAGGTGCTGGGTTGCTGTTGGTGGTTACTAATTGTATGTCTGCGGTAGTGAGGTCAGTGGGAAAGGAAGATGTTCAGCCTTTGGCTATGGCGTTGCTGAGGTGAAGTGACCTTCACAGGATCAAGCTTTTCTTCTGAATAGTAACTAGATTATAGACTTTGGAGATTTTGTTGATTGTGCTGATGCTTGTGTGCTGCTTAGAGTAGAGGCCGTCTGGCATTGCCCACAACAGGGTTGTAGTTGTCCTTGGGCAACTTCCATTTTGTAGTTTTGCATGTATTTGCTGCTTCACACAATCACCTGAAAACATTTTTTCCTAAAACCTTGTGTCTGTGCAGTGATGGGGTAAGAAATAAGAAAGACTTTCAAAATGAGGATGTCTTTTTCCTCTGGTCTCAGCCAGTAGGAGCATTTTAGCACACACCTGTAGGGCGGAGGTGTACTCTCAAGGCCTGTCATTGAGATCATTTTCTTCTGCATGTTCCAGCAAACTGTGAGAAACCATGGGTTGTTAATAAGTCTTGCTATTTTTTTGTTCTGCATACCATGGTTAAACTTTTATTTGGTTAGCCCTTTTTAACATTTAACAGCTGCTTTTTCCATCTTGTTTGTTGAACATTATGTATGGTACATGAGGAGGCGAAATTCTTAAGCCTCTTAGAAAGGCTCTGCAGGTTGTCTGAATTGAAGAATGAAAGTGAATCATTCTCTGCCAGCAGCCGGCAACTTTTATGCTATTTTTTTGCTTTAATTTTCTGAACACACAGCTGAAGGGTATGAACAAAAATGTGTGATTTGGGTGCTGATACTCAGCTTTTACTGTTATCAATGACAGTTTCTTGACAGCTTTATTCTGTAAACATTGATTCATTCAAATTCACTTGTCAGTTGTGGGATACTCATAAATCTCTCAGCAAGCAAGGAAAGCAGAAACTTTCCAAGACTTCTAGTGGTTTTCTGTATTGTTCACAATACACAAATAAATCATGTAACATTCTTCCTAATCCTTTTGTATATAGTAGAACATAATTTGGGAAAGTGTGTTTTGGAACTGCATGTTAGAAGGAATGTTATAGTGTAGGACTATAGCTTGGGCCGATGTAATTTTTTCTTACTTTCCATCTACTCAGAACAGCAAGCTATTATCCTAAAGTACTTTTATTGATTTGACAAATCAGTTGGTCAGAACACATCTAACTGTCATTCTGTTCATGTGGTTTTTAATGTCTTGGTTGAAGATGATTTTTCATAGATCTTGTATATGTTTACAAAGTTTTTATCCCCTTGAGAATTTTTGATATGCAAAGGTGACAGTGGTGCTTTTAATTTATCATCAAGAAACTCCACATAGGACTTTTTCTTAAGACTCATGAGCTAAATTTGAATTAAATACCAAAAAATTAAATACAATTCTTGAAGATTGCTTTATTTGTTGTTAAAATCTATGAAGATTTTACTAAACATTTATTGGCTCAAAAAAGATGAAGCTGTTCCTAAAGCTATATAAGGAACATACTTTATTTTAACTGTTAGTCTCTGTAGTTAACTACTTGAAAGTTATTAAGTGTTTTTATTCATAAGATTAACATCTGTCACAATTATAAATACAGTAGCATTTTAATCCCATAGTAGTGAATTTACATTTTAACTATTAGAAATTCAGTCTGTAAGGCACATACAGAGATATTTGTTATATCTGGACTGCTTATGAAAATTCACAATAAGTCTATATGGCATGTTCATATTGATAATGTTTTTGGTGATAGGATAAGTTGGTAACTTATGTGACATCCTACTGTCATTGATCACAGAGAAGTAAGAGCAAGCATTTGGCTATTCACAAATAGAGGTTGCAGTGGCACAGCAGATTTTGCTCAATACTATAGTGAAAGCCAAATTTGAGTACATCCTACTATTTGGCCCCAGTGAGGCCAAAAGGGTATTTAAAACTAAATTCTTTTTTATACGATTTTCTTTTGGCTTTATATTTTTCAAACAAGTTAAACACTGAAGAGAGAACCAGGAGTAGGAAATAGCATCAAAAAACTGGGACATTTGAAGAGTGACCATGAACAGATTCAGCCAGTTTAATCTCCATTATTTGGTAGAAAATACTTTTGAAATGTATCTTACAGTATTATGACTCTTGAGCAGTGTCTTCAGTTCTTAAGCCCTGAGTTTGTTTCTGTCAAGTAATCAAAGTTTCAGAGCAGTCAAATGTGTTTGTATTTCCCAAACATTCCAGTTTAATTTTCATCTGTCCCACTCTAGCTACAATTTAGTACATGGAAACATTGTAACCTTGCTTTGTTAAATTGAGCTTATTTTTATACCTCAGACTTAGTAAGTGCTAAAACTGCAGTAAGGTTTATGGCCAAGTGATGTGTTATACTTAGCTTGTCATTGAGTTAATTGAGCATGGTGCTGTGTGTCTCGTCACTGTATTCACTTGTGCAGGTGCAGATTAGTTGATAATGCAGGCTAAGTTTGAAAACACATTCTTCCCAATCAATGACATCATCATTTATAGAAAGTTCAAATATTAATATATTCACAGAAATGGCAGGAGATACTTCATTCTTAGGTATATGTAGGTAACAATTATCCTAGGAGCTCAAATTAATGAGTTAGTGGTTTCCAAGGTTGTTTTTTTGTTTGTTTATTTGTTTTGGTATATAAAACCTTTTAGTACATTATTGAACTGGTGTGTTTTTAACAATAGTGAAAAATATGTCTTTAAAAACTAATCAAATGTTTGTCAAGCACCCTGACAACTGTTCTCCTGCATTATGTTGATTCTGTGCAATCTACATTTCCTTAACATTTAAATAACTCATTATTTTATATCTTTTTTTGTGTGTGTGTGATGACCTCTATACCACTGTTAACTTACCATAGTGAAGAGTAGCAGGGTCTCTACTATTTCATTTCATCTTGAATCATTATAATTCTGCAGTAATACTGTGTGCATGTGTCTCTTATAACCGCTGTGGCTCTCCTGTCTCTGCCCGGGCCCCAGTGCAGTTAGAACCAAGCTTATTTTTCCCCAAGGACATCACCGAGTGTTGCTGACTATACTTGAGGATTGTGAATATGAGCGAGGAGAATAAAATTGAGTGTCTCATTTGGTGTATGACCTGCATATGCAAGAAATTGTCAAGAGATCACTTTGTATATAATCCATACATGTTTTACTTTCTTATTGGTCAGGTATCCTGAAGAACTTGCCTGGCACACAAATTTAAGTCGAAAAATCTTAAGAAAATCTCCACAGTTGGAAAAGTTTCATCAGTTTCTAGTGAGCGAAACTGAATCTGTAAGTAGATTTCTTTGGATTTGTTGATTTCCTTAAAGCTTTTTAGGCACAGATGTATCGTGGTTGTCTTTTTATCCTACTTGTCACTGGAAGTGATAGGTAGACAGGACACATAGAAAAGATGAGTGTGTGCACCACCTGTAATTTTTGATCATTTGTATTATGTATCTGCTGTCTTGTTTGGCTTGTCCAATCATGCAATTTATTAAGGGTATCAGTCACAGTTGTCTGTCTGATCTATTGTTTTCTCCTACCCGTGGATTTGGGTGGCTGTAAAGTGGGGTGAGCACTGCACTTTGTTGACGGGATGTCTTTCAGGACAGCTGCTTAGTCCACTTTCATTTCCTCCTCAGGTGCACCTCCCAGGTGCCTGCCCCGCAGATAAAGTATTTATGTTTTTAAGGCCATGTTGGTGGGGTATGGGATTTTTGTTTGTTTTTTCTTAATATTTTTTTTAAAAGTGAGACTTGTGATTTTACTTTTTATCATCTCTATTTTTTTCTTGCCATGTGTTGGACCTGTACTTTGCCAAAAAAACAAAACTCCCAGGCACAACTTGAGTCTCATAAGACATCTGTTGTCACCCTCTCGGTTTCTTTGTCACCCCACATTTCTTCAGGCAGTTCAGGTGCTGAACTTCTTACCTTTAACATCAAGTCATCTCTAACAAAATAACTGTTTGCTCATGTAATGAATATTTAAATGAATGCCCATAAAGTTTAGATATTGTAAGCTTTTTCTTTGGAGTTCTTAACCTCACATTTAAATCAGAGGTTTCCTCCTTCCTACTTTCTTATCTATTAATACTTTCTAGGCAAGTAAACCTCTGTGTCACCAGTTTATGGTTTTTTTTCCTTTTCACTCTGAACTTACAGAAATATTGTACTTCCCATGTTTTTTCACTGAAGCCTTTAACCAATTTGGAAGCCCTTCACCTCATTTCTGATCTCTTCCCAACCTATAGCTATTTCTTATCGCTGTGGCTTTCTGTGTGTTTCAGTAGCCTTTTAAACTGGGCTTCTCTTTGCCTAGCTTTTCCTCCCTGAACAGTAATAAGAACCACAAACTAAGTGCTGCCACATACTCTGTACTTGTGGCCAGTACAGGCAGAGATTCTCTCCCTCAGCTTTTAATCTAAATGGAAGGTCAAGTAAGGATAAGCAAGCCGTTAGAGAACAGTTCAGGTTTGCACTTTGAATAGAGTAGAGGGTTTATGAGGAATAGTGTGATACACAGTTGGATAGGTTTGAAGAGCCAGGTTTGGCACCTTGGAAAGGTGGAGGTGATGGGAGTTTAGTGTGGATAGCATCTGTTGTAGGAAACCAATCTAGATTTTTGGTTAGGAGTCAGCATGCTGAGAGCTCTCAAGATTAATGGTGACACCCTCTGGATTATTCAAAGCTGGCTGCAAATTCTCTTCGAGAGTGTTTATAATCAAGTGACTAATTGCTGGGATGTCTAGGGCCTGACTTCCCATCCTGCTTAATGCTTTAATTGAAAACTTGCATGGAAACAGAAGGCAAGCATGTCAGAATCACATTATAATGCAAAAGCTTAGAGTCAGTGTGCCTGGTGAGTGACTCAAGATTCAGATGTCACTGTAGACTCATTGCTGGCCAGAAACCCGTGAGGTGAGAATTAGCAGGGATAAATGTAAAAGTCTGACCGTTAGTTGCCTAAGTTTAAGGTGAGTGACAGCTGCTCAAGTACAAAAGGCCAGGGTTGTAGGGTCCTAATGGAGCAGAAGCCTCAGGCCGTGAGGCTGTTAGAATAGAGCTGTGATCCTGGCAAGTGCTGGGCCACAGCAGGAGAATTTTGTCTACCTCTGAACAGTTGTACCTTTTAACTGATGCCCTGGCCCGCTAGAGAAGATGTAGAGGATGCTTGATTGGTGAGGAATTCTAGACAATGATGATCCGAAGAAGGAAAGATGGGGGCATTCGTTGATGTCTTTGTCTTTTTGAAGAGGCAGTTATAAGGAATAGAAAGTGGACGTGGGCTGTTTCTGAAAACAGAGGATGATTAAGAAATAGATGCTAGAATTTTAGTAAGGAGGGAAAAACCACCTGGCAGTAACTTTCTGTCCTGTGCTAAGCTGATGCTCCCTGTTGCTGAAGGTATTTACACAGCAGTCTGCCTCGGAGAGGTGCTCACCAAGCGTCTGTGCTCTCACGATGGGGACCTGGGACAGTGCACGTGTACAATCCCTTTTCTTTTATAAAAGTCAGTGCCTGCAGTAAGTTTTGGTATTAATGGTTATGCCTATTTAGCCTTTAGACTACTTTATCCATCAGTACAGAATCTATCCTCATTTAATATAGTAGGGATTCTTTCGTTCTGTGTAAGATTATATGATCTTTTTCTGTTGCATTTGAAACAATGCCCACTATTAAAATTTTCTATTTTTTTAATTGTTAATTTTTTTCCCCCAAGGGAAATATCAGCCGTCAAGAAGCGGTTAGCATGATCCCACCGCTGCTGCTCAATGTCCAGCCTCATCACAAGGTAGCAAACTTAACTAGAAACATGGGGTACATCAAGCAGGGTCCACAAGAAAAAGAAACATGGGGGTGGATAGATTGTTAATCAATTTTTGTTGAAACCATTTTTTCTTAATATAGTTAATCCTTTTTTTCCTTTTTAACTTTGGATGAAGAATGATTTATGTTTTAGGTTCTTTGCATTTTTGTTCTACTTAATTTTTAGTTTAGATAACTATTTTGTCCCTTTTTTTTGGTCATACTTCCACTGTCTGCAATACTTTGTCCCTTCCTATTTTTTGAGACAGAGTCTCACTTTGTTGCCTGGGCTAGAGTGCCGTGGCATCAGCCTATCTCACATCAACCTTAAACTCCTGGGCTCAAATGATCCTTCTGCCTCAGCCTCCCGAGTAGCTAGGACTACAGGCATGTGCCACCATACCCGGCTAATTTTTTTCTATATAATTTTAGCTGTCCAGTTAACTTCTTACTATTTTTGGTAGAGTCAGTGTCTCGCTTCTGCTCAGGCTGGTCTTGAACTCCTGAGCTCAAATGATCCACCTCAACCTCCCAGAGTATTAGGATGACAGGTGTGAGCCACAGTGCCAGGCCTATTTTGTCCCTTCTTAAAGGCTATTTATTTGCTTTACAGATTATTTTAGATGGTCTTGATTGGCTAAATTAGCATGATAATCATAGTGAACATCTGCTGAGAGCTTATTGTATTCCAAGCATTGTTCTGTGTCCTTTATGTGAATTAATTCATTTTACCAACCCCCCCCCCCCTTAGGGGAGATACTGTCACTGTCTCCATTTCTCCAGATGAGGAAAAGGGAGCAAAGAGAAGTGAAGTAACTGGCCCAAGGTTTCAGAGCTAAGAAGGGGCTGAGGTTTTGGCCCAGATAGCTCTGTCCCATAGCATTATAACAATTCTTATTCATCTCTAAGTTTATTGTTTTCACTGGCTTCTAGTGCTATTCTGTTCCCATCTTCTTTGGAGACTGTACTTTTATCATTCTGTGATTTCAGGGGCATTATATTATGGAATCCCTAAAAGTAAAATATGTCATACAGTATGGATGTATTCTATAAAGAAATGTATTTAGGTCTTAGACTAGAAATCAAAAGATTAGAATGACTCATAAAATGTTTAAATGTAGAATATTAGATTTTAAAACAACATTAAACATTTTCTTGCTTTATGAATAGATCCTAGATATGTGTGCAGCACCTGGCTCAAAGACCACACAGTTAATTGAAATGCTACATGCCGACATGAATGTCCCTTTTCCAGGTATGCATTGGACTTGTTTTTAGAAGGGTAGGAATATTACTACTTTGGTGGGTTGTGGACAAGGGGAAGATCCTAACATTGCCTGCTAATTGGGCCCCGAAGTCTCCTATGACAAGCAGATGGCTTTTCTATCTACCACTAGTAGAACTGGACATTTTTGTACACCATCATCAATAATTCTCAAACCAACACATTCATACTTGTGGGGGGAGGGGGGGTGAAAGCGGTATTTTATATTTTCTATAAAGGCAAATAGTGTTTCTTTATCAAGCATGCTTACAGAAGATAGATTTCTCTCCTTGCCTTTCTCTCCTTGCCCTCCTTTGTAATGAAGAGTTACTAATAATAGAAGACATTTTTGGCACAATATGAATAATTGTTGAACAAATGAATTTTGAGGTTTTGAAATTTAAGTGTCCATAAAAATCTATGAAGAGCTACCTAGTTCCTTTTTTGAACCACTTAATGTATTTCTAGCAAATCTCAACGTTGGGTCTTAACTTTAGAGGGTTTCTGTTTCTCACCTGCTGACTTAGAGGTTGTATTTCAGGAAATGATTCTACTTATGCTACATTTCACCTGACAGTCCGATTTTATGTTCCCAGAGGGATTTGTTATCGCTAATGATGTGGACAACAAGCGCTGTTACCTGCTCGTTCATCAAGCCAAACGGTTAAGCAGTCCCTGCATCATGGTAGTAAACCATGACGCATCCAGTATACCTAGACTCCTGATAGATGTGGACGGAAGGAAAGAGATTCTCTTCTATGATCGAATTTTATGTGATGTCCCTTGCAGGTATTTATATTTTTAAGGGTCCAGAAAGCCCAAAATCCACTAAGGAAATCAAATCAAACATAGACTAAAATGGAACTGCCTATGAAAACACATGCAATTGTACATATGAGTCTGATGGAGAAAGGTACTGAAGCCTAAACCACAGGATACATGCTCAAAGTTTTAGTAATAAACAGATCAGCAGACCTTGGATACAGAACAAAGATTTTAAAAAATGGATGGTTTTGATAGCCTTATGAAAGATAAGATAAGAAAGATAAGATTCCTCCTGAGAGGAAGATAGAATGATAAACTCCTCCCATTGTGGTGTATTTCAGGATATCATTGGTTGGAACAATATGTGCATCCCAAGAATTTCTATTTGTTCTTCTAATAAGTACAGTATGTAAAAGACTTTGTCATAGTATAATACATAAACACGTTGGGCTTCACATTGTTTATAGTACAATGAATGAAATTCAGAGTTCAGACCTTTGAGAAACTTACTTTACCTGTATTTTTATACCTTTCTTCAAATTTTACATTTGAAGTTTTAGATATTTATATATGAAAGAATTCCATGATATAACTGAGTAACAGTTTTTCCAACTAGAAAAGAAAAAAAACGTAACTAAAGGCATCATGTGGATGATGATGATCTCAGGTGTTAATACTTTTTGAATTGTGTAAGTTTGTTGAGACCAGAGTTCAAAAACTGCCACAAAACTTGGTAGCAATAAACACAAGGTTTAAATGTGATACCTCATCATGGAAGAATTCCATTTTTTAAAAACAAGTGGCAGGCAGATTTACTGCTTGTGACAGGGCTCAGGTTGAAAATTTCAGCTGGTTGCACTGAATATGTCTTTGTTTAAAATACCTGCAAGAATTCCTCTTTAAAGTAAAATTTAAAATAGGCCAGGGAACTAAGTTATTTTTTCCCCTTAGGTTGCAATTTCCTTTTCTCTTTTGAGGTGGGGTCTCTCTCTATTGCCCAGGGCCAGGGCTAGTCTTCAGTGGCATCATCATAGTTTGCTGCAACCTCAAAATCCTGGGCTCAAGTGATCCTCCTGCCTTAGCCTTCCAAATTGCTGGAACTACAGACTTGAGCCGCTGCTGCCAGCTAATTTTTCTATTTTTTGTAGAGATAGGATCTCTCTTGTGCTCAGGCTCAGGCTCAGGCTGTAGGTTGCAATTTTCTAATTTTCCCTAAGGACCCATGTTTTTCCACTCCTGTTTTCTTGTGATCAGAAAGATAACTCATTTCTCACGCCTGAGAACAAAATGACCTTGTGAGCAGTTGGTTGCAAGCTGAGGAAATTTCTGAAATTATGGTGTAATTTCCCACCATATAAGCCTGTGGCATACAGCCAGGGACATCATTTAAAAGCAGGTATCACATCTCAGAACATTTCCATATTGCTGAGCTTGTACCTTAAGCAGAGGTGACTAGACCACCAAAGAAAATTAAAATATAGAGAAAGACAGGCGTTACCCCTGGAAAAACTAGGAAGATAAAATTAGACAAGGACAGAAGATTAACAAGTTTAATCTTTATTATAAAATGTATAAGGAAATAGTTTCCATTAATAAAAACATGAGAATTGCATTATTTCAGGACAGGAAAAAAAAAAATAAAAAATAAAAACATGAGAATAACTTTCATTAAATAAAAGTAGAGAGTCAGAAATGTATGATTATAGGAAAACTTTAGTAAAGAAATTAAATGAGCTTAACTGAATTTGCTGTGGAAAATTCTTTGAGTGTAAATTTATCATTATTCACATAGTTCTGATTAAAATGTCTTTGGTGATGATCTGAATTTCTAAATAGTATTCAAGGTTCTGTGCCCTAAATCTGCAAATAAGTTTTGTAAGTATTTTTCCCAAGTGGAAGCAGATTAATATCTCTTTAGGTGTTGAATGAGGTTTCCTGTTCAAAGCCATTGTTTTCTTTTTGACTGAAAGTTGAAATGTAATTAAAAAGTATAAGGTGTTAGATTGTTCCTAAAATAGAAAGTTGATTGTGGTTTGTGAAAATTTAGATTGTTTTCTAATTGATATTTATAATATCTATTTTGTAATTTAGCTTGAATATGACACATCTATTAAAATTTAATTGTCTACCTGTATAGAATTTTAAGTTCTTGAATACTTACTTTCTAGTGGAGATGGCACTATGAGAAAAAACATTGATGTTTGGAAGAAGTGGACCACCTTAAATAGCTTGCAGCTCCATGGGTGAGTAGAACTTTGTGACTGGTAACACTGCATGATAAGTAGATTAGTAAAGATTTATTGTTAAATTATGTAATGAGCATCCAGATCTTTAATTGTAAGGCTGTGAATATCAGAGAATGATAGTAAATGGCCACCTTCAAGAATTTGCTTATATATGGGAAGTTGTTTTTAAAACTTTTCATGAGTGTAGTAACTGCAAATTTTATTTACTTCAGAAACACATTTATTAAAAATACTTTTCGTGAAAATTTCTTATAACATTTCAAATGTTTTTTCATGAAATAACTCCTCTTAATGTCTTATTCTTTTTCCTCTCCGTTTTTGTCCTTTTATTATTTTGCTTAACATTTTAGTCTCTTATAAATATTTTTTGATTTTTTTTTTTATGATGGGGAAAACTTTGCAATAAATTTTGGAAAATTCTTAAATGAAAATCTCAAAGTGGTGATAACTTCTATTAATGTTTGGTGTATTGTGGTGTTTTTCTGTGTATAGGGATTTTTAAAATACTTGTTTCAAATAGATTTGATTGTTCTGTCTGTAGAGTTTTGTATTCTTGCTTTCATTTGACATGAAAAGTTGCCTGTTCTTGCAGCAGGACCGTGAGTGATATAAAGTGTGTTGATGGACATCCACCACAAATAGCACCAGCAGGGGATTTGGCTTTTTTATAACAAAAATCCCGTTTTTGTGAAACAGAGGCAAAAGATAGGATTAGAATATATGAAGGGATACAAATTTTTCATAGAAAAATCACATATTTGTACAAGTATGGAGATTTTTTTAATAGTGAAATTCATCTAATACGTTGAATTCAGCAGTTAATCTGTTAATCAACTTTCTGCTTTGCTCTGTGACATATTGGGAAAGGTTAACCGAATAGTAAAGACAGTTGTTTAAATAGATGCTTTTTTATTAACACAAAACACTTTATAATATAAAGTTTACTCTAATTTCACTTAGAGCCTTAAGCTTTTTTGTGATAAGTATCATAAAAACTTGAAATAAATGAGTGACATAATTAGTAAACAGGTGCTTCTAACATGTGTGCTTTATGGACTAGTTCAGTCTTCTGTGACCTAACGCCAACCCTTAGCTTACAGCTACGTATTGCAACTCGAGGTGCTGAACAGCTGGCAGAAGGTGGGAGGATGGTGTATTCCACGTGTTCACTAAACCCCATTGAGGACGAAGCAGTCATAGCGTCTTTGCTGGAAAAGAGTGAAGGTGAGCACACTGGATGCATCTTTTAGGAAAAGTGTATGCTTTAAAAAAATTTTTTTGCTAAGGAATGGTGTATATTCCTATGGGCCTTTTCCTGAGCATGTGCTTATAAGATATATAATATAAAGTTTACCTTCTTAATCATTTTTAAGTCTGCAGTTTGGCAGTATTTGGTATATTCACATTGTTGTGCAACCACCTCCACCAACATCTGTCTCTAGAACTCTTCATCTTGCAAAACTGAAACTCTTGGATCTATAAACAGTAGCTTCCCATGTCCCCCTTTCTCAGTAACCACTGTTCCCTGATTTTGACTACTCTAGGTACCTCATGTAAGTGAAATCATATAGTATTTGTCTTTCTGTGGTTGGTTTATTTTACTTAGTATTGTGTCCTCAAAGTTCATCAAGTTGTAGCATGTGTCGGAGTGATTCTTTTTTAAGGCTAAATAATATTCCATTGTACATGTAAAACACATTTTTGTTTATGCATTAATCTTTCAATGGACAGTAGGGTTTCTTCCATCTTTTGGCTGTTGTGAATAGTGCTGCTGTGAACGTAGTGTACAAAAATCTTCAAGACCCTACTTGTAATTCTTTTAAATACATACCTGAAAGTGGAATTGCTGGATCGTACGGTAATTCTGTTTTTAGCTTTTTGAGGATCCTCCCCGTACTGTTTTCTATATCAGCTGCATCATTTTATATACCTGCCCATACTGCACAGGGGTTCCAGTTTCTGTACATCTTTACCAACACTTCTTTCTTTTTGGGGTTTTTATTGTTGATAGCAGCCAATCCTAATGGGTGTGAGATGTTATCACACCATTTTCTACTATAGACGTGTAGTGTAAAACATTCTGAAAAAGCAGTTTTCTTAATGTTTTGATCTAAAATATTTCTGTTTTTGTTTTGCTGAAATCTTAACTTTTCCTATCATATTCTCCTTAAAGCAAATAATGAGAAATTTCAAACTTATACCATGTCTCCAGAGTAGAACACTATTGAATTCACTGTGCCCATGTGTCCTTTTAGCTGGGTTCTTATCAGTGACCGGGCTGGGCGGTGATGCCGTTAGAGACCTTTATACTAGAATTTAATGTGTTTATTTTGTTTTCCTGTACTTACATAGACCTACATAGAAATGTGATTTCTGAGTGATCCTTCTTGCACGGTCATAATCTCTGTGATTTTGGTGGTACTTTATTTCAGAAGGTGTGTAAGGAGGACAGTGGCAGATATAATTTCCTAGTTAGTTTAACCGTAGTAAAATCATACTTACAAGTATGACTTTGAGTCAGTTGTGAGAACTGTTGAGTCCTGCTCAGATGTGTCTGCATTAGCTAGGAATTTTAGAAAAATATTATTCCATGTAGCTTGAACAACACAAACGCCTCGTATATGCCCCTTGCCACAGTCTGGTCTTAGATCTTGGAGAAGCAGAAAATCGACATTTATTATTTGCATGTCCAGTTGCTATTTATTGTTCAAACCTGAAGGAAAGTTCCAGTATTTGTGGGTTCTCAAACTGCTTTCTTAAAACTGACTTCCTCTGGTTTCTTTGTGAGGGGTTTTCTTGACTTGGAGCAGTAGTCGTAGCCCCATCTTGTGCTGCATGGTAAGGTTTTTGCAGATCGCTAAGTGTTCATCCGATTACCTCTGCTGAATCTCTGTTGCCTGATTAAGAACTCCATGTATTTCTTTTAGCTCCTTTTCCTGTTTTAAACTTGTAGCTGGGACCAGAAGCCAGGTCTCTTGCTGATTTAGGAGAGAACAGGCCCTTGTCTTTGTTAAGCTGGCCTTCCCTCGTGGTGGGTGGCATAAAACTGAATGTTTAAAAATTTCCACAGTTCATTTTAAATGTTGCTTTTCGGTTCTGGGATGTTTGTTAGACATAAAGCCGTGAAAACCCAAATCTTCTAACTGGTGTGTATCCAGAACAGAGAGATGGACCAGGCACTCCGAATCCCAGCCTCGTATCACATGCCAGGCTGCCTTCTAAGCAGAGTTAGTCTTGCATTCATGGTGGGGCTCTGTGATGCCTTTTCGTTTGAACAGCTTTATTGCACTATAATTTATATATTGTAACATTCATTTTAAGTGTACAGTTCAACGATTTGTAATAATTTTACTGAGTTCAATACCTGATACCAGAGTCCAGTTTTAGACATTTCTTTCACCCCCAAAAGATCTCTCATGCCATTAGCACTCACTTCCCATTCCTACCCTAGCTCGGGCAGCCACTGATCTACTGTTCATCAATGGAATGGCCTTTCCTGGACATTTCCTATAAGTGGAGTCATACAGTGTGGGTTTCTTGTGTGTCTGGTTTCTTTCACTGGGCATAATGTACCATGCCTTTCTAAAAGATACATATATATATATATATTATTTTTTGCTACCTAGGGGCTTTGGAGCTGGCTGATGTGTATTCTGAATTACCAGGGCTGAAGTGGATGCCTGGAATCACGCAGTGGAAGGTAATCTTTCTTTAAAGACTTCAGTTCAAAAGAGTAGGTTCAGCTTAACAGACTTAGAGTTATAAAAGTTTCAAGTATGTGTTTTTAGGTAACTTGAATAAATACTACGTCAAGTTATGCAGTTTATTGATGTCAAAATTATATTTAGTGACAAATGTTATGATTATACAAATGTGGAAAAGCTTTCTTGCCCTTATTTCATGTGTAGGAATCAGCTTTGTTGCTCTTCTCCCCATGAGGCAACTTTGCTTTTTTAATGGTCTGGGATTCAAGCTTGGCTTCCAACATGAAACAATTCACTTTACAGTTTTAGGCCAGAATCAATTTTGGGGCTTTAAACAACAACCACCACCAAAAAACTACATGGAAAATGTTCTCTTATTATGATTGCCCTGGTTTTTTGGAATGAAAGTGTTTCATCTTTGTTTTTAATAGATTTTATGTAATTTGGGGATTTTCTGTAAAGATTGGTTTGTTTTTTATCTTGGCAGATAGTCTTCCTATCTTGGAGACAGTGAGATCCACCATTTGTCATGTTTGAGAGCATTTACTCTGTTACTCTGTGATTTTTCTTATTGTCTTACATAGTGCCAATAATCCAGAAATGTGCCTTCCCGTGTTGCAGGTAATGACAAAAGATGGGCAGTGGTTTACAGATTGGGATGACGTCCCTCACAGCAGACATACCCAGATTCGACCCACCATGTTCCCACCAAAGGACCCGGAAAAGTTACAAGCAATGCACCTGGAGCGGTGGTAAGTGTGCGAGGCCCTCCAGGTTTGGGGAGGGTGAGGAAGGTCCAGTCCTCCGGGGACTGATACGCTTTGTTGGGAAAAGTTTACAAGCAATGCACCTGGAGCGGTGGTAAGTGTGCGAGGCCCTCCAGGTTTGGGGAGGGTGAGGAAGGTCCAGTCCTCCGGGGACTGATAGGCTTTGTTGGGATGAGTTAGAGGCAGCAGGGTGACAACCTCACAGGTGTGAACTTCCCAGCAGGTAGGACATTCTCAATGACTCAGTTACTGGCAGTAGGCATTTATAAATAGTGAAATTGGTTAGAACCTAGACGGTAATATTTTGAATACTTCCTGAACCTTTACACATTATGTATTGGCCATTCTATGAGTGAGGGCTGCCTCAGTATCTGCAGTAAGACATGACTTCTCTCACATCATCTTTATAGTATTTGTCTTAACACAACACATTTTGGATCCGTTAAAAAGCATGAATTACCTTTATTTTTAGCCTTAGGATATTACCACATCATCAGAATACTGGAGGGTTCTTTGTGGCAGTGTTAGTGAAAAAATCCTCAATGCCATGGAATAAACGTCAACAAAAGGTAATTTTTTTTTCTTTTCCCAAAATAATAATATTTTATCAAGTGCTTTTAAAACAAAACCTCCTAGGAGTTTAGTGGAAGACGTGCAGAGACAAAGAGGAGTTGGATGGGCTGGGGCAGAGGGCGGAGCATGAACCAGGGGAGATTCATTTAAATCTCAAGTTTTCTGATACAGACATCTCTTAGGGAATAGGTAAGTAGAAAGAGAGTATAATGCTCTGTGGCTCGAGTTGGAAGCCTCCCAGCTTCTGTTCCGGGCCAGGTGGGTGCAGAGCCCCTGCTGACCTCAGGCTGACCTCAGGCAGGCCAGCTTCAGCATGGCTATATGGAATGATGAAAGACTTGGTCTAGGCCTGGCTAAAAAAACGTACGGCCTGACCTGTTGTGATGAATCTAAACCGACCTGCTGGTCCCTTTCTGAGGCAGGTCAGGAAGCCGAGAGGTGAGGAAAACATGGCCTGCCTTGTCTTGGCACAGCGCTCCACGCGTTGTTGGTGTGTATTGGTTTTTTTGTCATGTTGCTACCCATGTAAACGGGTTTGGAGTCTTCCTTCATTTTGCCTCTGATACATCGTCTTATTTTTTAGAGCAACTTGGTGTGATTTGCTCATTTACATATTAATACTTCTCCCCTTTCTGTTATGTCGGTTTCTTATTCATTTAGTTCAACTCATGTGATTTGGTTGTCTGCCCTGTATGCTCGCATAGCGTGCGCTGCCGGGGGGCTGCGGGCGGCGCCTGCAGAGCCTCAGTGGGCAGCACGCCCTAGTCCAGTTGAGGTGATGGGGCGTGTGAACACAGCCGGGACACAGGCCACGGCATTCGGTCGTGGAGGTAGAACAGAGGGTGTGGTGGAGAAGGGGCCATTTAAGCCAGCCTCTAAGCAAGGCGCCATTGCCAGCAGGGACAGAGCACTGTCATTCACCTTGTTCCGAGGCTTGGAGTTTGTCTGTTTGTTTTCTACATGAAAATAAGAGGCACTCTGGGAGGCAGTGTTGTATCATGTTAAGAGCACAGAATCTCAGACTCCAGCTCCTACACTGAATACCTTTGTGACCTTGGAGAAAATGTGGAACTTGCCTATTTAGAAGCATCTTAATTTGTAAACTTCATTGGGACTAGGAATTCCTACTTTTACCAGTCTTATGATTTGTTAGAACACTACATGTATTTTTAAAAGATTTTTTGATACAAGTAAAACATTTTGCTCATCCTCAAAGCCAAATGTAAATTATATTATTGCTCTAATTCATAAGTTTATTTTCAAGCACGTATTTCCTTAGTGCCAGGAGATGTCCCCTTTTTCCTGATTTCCACAGCGGTTTGTCCATATGCCCTGGAACAGTTCTCACTTTTTTTTCTTATTGTTATACATGTACTTTATGTCCTTGCCTGATATTTTAGGAGTCATGTTTACTCATTCTTTGTGTCCTTCATTGTGGCTTACACAGAGCAGATGCATGGTAAGCATTTTTAGATGGAAACAAGCTGGTGCGATGGGCCTCTCCTAAGGGAAAGGCTGGGTATGCTCTTTGTGGGAGTAAGGTGTAGTCAGTCAGCTTTAACACCAAAGAAATGATGTCCATGAATTTCATTTATGATAGCAAACATTTAAAATGACGGTTTAATAAAATTCTCTGTTTTTCTGCATATAATGCTATACAAAAATGTAATTGATTTAGTGAACTTGATATTTTTAGTTTTCTCGTAGCATTGCTGAGTATGCTGCTCTTTGTGTGTAAATGAACTTTTCCCCTTGGACAGCTGCAGGGTAAGTCTGCAGGGAGCAGAGAAACCACACAGTTGAGCCCAGCAGATCCCACAGAAGGGAAACCCGCCGACCTTGCCAAGCTGGAGAGCCAGTCCGTCACAGGAACTGGTGACACAGAAATAATTCAAACAACTGAGAATTCAGAGAATAATGGCAATAAGAAAGATGGCGTGTGTGGGTAAGAGAAAGGGTTCTGTCTTGATATTGATCTAGCATTTCTCAGCCCTCTTGGATTGAATGGGATCCCACAGCTGCACCTGTTGGGGGTCGCATGGGTGGGTTTGAGAACACAGCACATGCATGGTATTGACACACGCGTGTGGGTGCTGCGCTCCACAGGTGGAGGTTAGAAGGTGGCATCTGCTGCCTAATACGGGACACGTGCAGAAAACCCCATGCTGCACAGAGCCGGGTGCGTGCTGGTGGGAGAGAAAGGATGTGCTTTAGGTGCTTCACTCATCTCGAAGACCACAGATTTATTCGTCTCATCCTAATTCCTTTTCTAGTCCTCCTCCTTCAAAGAAAATGAAGTTATTTGGATTTAAAGAAGATCCATTTGTGTTTATTCCTGAGGATGACCCGCTCCTTCCCCCTATTGAGTAAGGGTTAATTTTAATTTTTTAATTCTTCATTTAAGGAAATTTATTATAGAGTAGTAAATGCACACTAACCACACTTAGCCATTGTTTTGTATTTAGTTCTGTATGGTTTTTTTTAACTGCGTGTTAGAGCGGGATGACACTTTAGAGGTTGTTTACTCAGCTTTTCAATTTAAGTCAAAAGAGAAAGCCTTGTGCACTAAGAGTGTATAAAGATGATGGATGAGAAAACTGGACCGTGATTCTGAAAGCGAATTGCTCAGTCGTGATCCTGAGCGCGCACTACTCAGTTCAGTTGGGAGTCCCGTGGCCGAGGCTGCACAATCAGTTCCTGCTGCAGAAAGGAGGAAGAGGGTGGCGTGGGTGCTAACTGGCAGTGTAGGCAGAGCGTGGAGGAAAAGCGCTTAGGACAACAATCTCAGACTCATGTGTTTCTTACTCATTAAATTTTAGTGTATGTGTGCTAGAGTGGGCACTTGTTTTCTTTATAACTGGTCCTTTGCATACATTTGTAAAAATCTTTCTTCGAAATTAAGTTTCAGAAGTAGTGTTCTCAGGTCCTTGTCACTGGAGTAGCAGCTGACGGGAAGCTGCTCTTGTTAATGCAGGTCTCTGATTCAGTTGTGCCCCACATAAACACTGCCTGGAGGTTTCAGGTGGAAGGCGACGGAGCCGAGACGGTGGGGTGCAGAGCAGAGCCCGGTGCCCTCACCCCACACTGCAGCTTTAGAAATTCAAGTCTGTGGCAGAAGAGAGAGGTGTTCAGAGACAGTCTACCGGAACTTGATCTAAACTTGTAAAAAACAGCACTTTTTTGTTTCCAGGAAATTTTATGCTTTGGATCCTTCCTTCCCCAAGATGAACTTGTTAACTCGGACCACAGAAGGGAAGAAAAGGCAGCTCTACATGGTTTCCAAGGAGCTGCGAAACGTGCTGCTGAATAACAGCGAGAGGATGAAGGTATCACCGCCGGGCGCAGAAGGGTGTGGCTTTCCACTTCCTTTCTGAGGGCAGGTTTGATGGGGGGAGCAAATCCCGGCACCTGCCTTCTCTGCCTGCAGCGTTGGCTGAGGGGCCCTGAGCCTGCCCTGTGGTTTCAGAGCTGTTGGCCAGCACAGGGCTGAGTGGTCCCTGACTCTGTGGCCTGTGTCCTTCTGTGCCACTGTCCTTGTACCTGGACAAGCCTTGGTGTGGGCCTCATGGCTTGGCCTCCTGGGAGATAGAGCACAGAGGTTTTGGGGGCTGCGACTGTTGCTGCTCCTGTGGCCCTTTGATTTGTCCTTACAGACATTTTCCTTGGAACTTTGCCAGTTTTAGGTCCCCCTTTCACTTGCATTACTACTCTCTGAGGGCATCCACGGAGTCAGAAAGATTGAACTATTTCCGTAACAATACGGACACAAGATCTGCTTTTTCACTCCTGTCTCGGGTTGCTAGGCCAGGTGGCCTCTGACAGCATTCTTGCTCTTAGTGGCCACTGAAATGTGTGTTGACATATTCTTATGTTTTCAAAGTTTCCCAGTTTTAATTTTTTTTTTTTTTTTTTTTGAGACAGAGTCTCACTTTGTTGCCTGGGTTAGAGTGCTGTGTCGTCAGCCTAACTCACAGCAACCTCAGACTCCTGGGCTCAAGCAATCCTCCTGCCTCAGCCTCCCAAGTAGCTGGGACTACAGGCATGCGTCACCATGCCCAGCTAATTTTATATATATATATATATACACATATATATATATTAGTTGGCCAATTAATTTCTATTTATAGTAGAGATGGGGTCTCGCTCTTACTCAGGCTGGTTTTGAACTCCTGACTTTGAGCAGTCTGCCTGCTTCGGCCTCCCAGAGTGCTAGGATTACAGGCGTGAGCCACCGTGCCTGGCCTCCAGTTTTAATTTCTACGGTGGCAGTTATTTGTGCCCTTGAGCCCACGTACACAGAAGTCGTTAGCTGGTTCTTGAGTGAGAACTGTGTTAGAGGCAGGTGGCTTCTCCGTGGTTTTCTGTTTCTCCTTCCCTCTCCCCTTCAGCAGCTGCTTCTATACAGCCTTGCCTCCTTTCAGCAGAGGGGATGTTGAATTGATTATTCTGACTTTATCTATGTGTGTATTTCAGCCAATTTTTTTTTACTTATAGGTTATTAACACAGGCATAAAAGTCTGGTGTCGAAATAACAGTGGTGAAGAGTTTGGTTGTGCTTTCCGGCTGGCACAGGAGGTAATTTTAGAACAAGACTTGACTAACAAGAGTCCTGAATCCCTGGGAAGCAGCTGGGGGGACACTAGGCTTTCCAGTCGGCAGGACGCTGGGCGTGGCCACTCCTGCAGGTCATTCAGCTCCCCCCTCTGGGAGGTGGGGCCATAGTGAGTCCTGGACACTGGGCACAGAACGTCCCTCAGAGCCCGTGATTGCTGTCGTTCAGGAATGGCATTATGGTGCTCTGTCTTATTTCCACAGGGAATATATACATTGTATCCATTTATTAATTCAAGAATTATTACCGTGTCAATGGAAGATGTCAAGACACTATTGACCCAGGAAAATCCATTTTTTAAAAGACTCAGCTGTGACACATACAGTCAAGCCAAGGACCTGGGTAAGCAGTTTGAATTGCATGGAGGCTTAATTTGTATTATCTTTATAAGGGCAGTGAAAATACAAGTGTTTCTGTTTTTCTGGGATATCTGGGATATATATTTTCTGGGATAATCATACATCATAGCTTTCTTTTTACTGATTATATCAATTTTCAGAGGTTTTTTTTTTTTTTTTTTTTTTTTGTGGAAGCCTAATTGACATGGATCAAAGGCATCTCTTGGGGGTTGCTCTACTTCCCCGGCCCTGGGAGAGCCCCTGGTGTTGCCCAGAAGCCCACAGTGAGCCTGTGTGAGTAGCCCCAGCCAGAGCTCCTGCCCAGCTGCCTGTCGGCAGGTTCCTGGTGCTTGGGTTCATCTGTTCCTAATGCAAGGAACACAGGTAGACGAGACCAGTTAACATGAGGCATCTGGTTTGTTTGATGTTTTAACTGCCCTTGTTAAAGCAGAATAATACAGTCTCGCCAGCAGTTCCTACTGTTATGCTGGCCAGGCAGGATAGATTATTGGTGGCATTATTGTTTTCATATTTCATAAACTTCCACTTCAAATCACTCTAGTGACATTTTCCCCTAAGCATGAAAATAATTTCACCAAGCCATTCTAATTTTGTCCTTCTTTTGTTTTCATTCTTATTTTTTATAACCTGTTCAATATTTCTGACTCGATTTGATGAAAACCACACAAATCAGCTACTACAGTTCTTACCTGTTAAAACCTGCTCACGTGTTCCTACACAACACAGCCAAGCTGTGTGGAGTCTGTTCCTGCTGTTGTCTCCTCAGGTGAAAACCTCGATATAAAGTAGAGATTATTTTAAAGAATAAGAGAACTGTTTATACTTGTTTCTTTTTTCTTTTAATCCTATGTTTAGGTGATTGCAGTATCATTTTTTGCAATTCTTGGTGTATTTCATGCTGTTTCTAGGAGTTGGTGCTATAATTTATTTAATCTTGGATTTTGAGGATTAACCAGTAGTTACTCTCCAGCCTCCCTGCTTCTTTGAGTGACTGGTCAAGTTACCTTACTTTAAATCCTTTGCTTCAATCCTCGTCCGGATTGTCCTTACTGCCTTGCTCGAACTTGGCTTCAGGTTTGGAGGCCTCTTTTTTCACCTAGATCTTTGAGACCAAGAGTGTGTATAATTAATGTTTGTTCACTTTCTTCGAAATTGTTCCCACAGCACTAGGCACCTAAACATGCTTGTTGCATGTGCACACTACCTGGAAAACTTGGCAAACATGTGTCTGTTTCTCTTGCAGCAAAGGGAAGCATCGTGCTGAAGTACGAGCCAGATTCTGCGTAAGTGGGTCCACACCTTGTCAGTAGATGCACTCGCCTCGTAGCTGTGTAGTGATCCCGGTGGTGAGGGAAGCGTTACGGGAGGGTGGGACCTTCATGACTCAGAAGCCTTTTATGATTGTTCCCCTAAAGGTAGTATCGTGAGAACTTCAGAACTGAAATATTCTTGTTAAGTCATCAGGAGGATTCTTTTTTATAGAGCACTCAGGCCAAATAAATGCATTTTTATTTATAGAGAATAAAATATGTAGTACTTACTCTTCAAGCATTAGAAATTGAGTCAATTTTATGTCTAATGAAGAATAAATGTAACAGGTAGACGAGGTTGAGTTCCTGCGTCTTCATCGTTGGCTCAGACGATGAGTGTTGGTCACTGTATGCAGCAGGGGTGGGGCGTGGGGTGCGTGGTGCTCCTGTCACAGGCCTGGTGTCCCCCGAGCCTCATGGAGCCCTCGGAGCAGCAGGCCCTGGTGTCGGCAGCACTTGTCAGATGAGGACAGCAGGACGCAGAGTTAGGTGGCTTGCCTGAGTGTCTCAGCTCGAGTGGCAGGATCAGAGTCTCACCTATGACAGCTGCCTCTTTGTAAAGTAAAGCACCAATTTTTGTCTTTTTCTTTGAGATATAGTCTCACTCTGTTGCCGGGCTAGAGTGCCGTGGCGTCAGCCTAGCTCACAGCAACCTCAAACTCCTGGGCTCAAGTGATCCTTCTGCCCCAGCCTCCAAAATAGCTGGGACTACAGGCATGTGCCACCATGCCTAGCTAATTTTTTTCTATATTTTTAGTTGGCCAATTAATTTCTTTCTATTTTTAGTAGAGACGGGGTCTTGCTCTTGCTCAGGCTGGTTTTGAACTCCTGACCTTGAGGTGATCACCCTGCCTAGGCCTCCCAGAGTGCTAGGATTACAGGCATGAGCCACCGTGCCCAGCCTAAAGCACCATTTTGAAGAGGAGGAAATAAAACGGGGTGCAGGGCTGAGTGGGATTTGCAGGGTGGTTAGGTAGAGCCACAGTGTATGTTTCTTTGGGAAGTTAGCATTTGACCCCGGTCTGAGGGAAGAGAAGGAACTGCCCGGGACACATCCTGAGGCAGGGGTGGGCCAGAGGGCGCTGGGGTGGGGCTAAGGCTCAGCCTAGGAGGGGGGAGAACGGAGGGGTAAGACCTGCACCCCTGCATGGCCAAGGGTCTCGTGTGTCCTCAGGAGTGGACTGTAGAGAGTGGGTGGGCAGGGGAGGGCGAGAGGCAGGTGAGAATGATAAACAGACCAGTTGGGGGGCGGCTTGGTGGGGTCGAGCAAGGCCGTGAGGATGTGTCCCAGGTGGGTTGTGGGTGGTGACGGAGGAGCACCCGACCTAGGCTTCTGGGTTTGAGTTGAGCAAATGTCATCTCCCAAAATGTGAAGAATAGGAAAGAACCAACACACTAAGTTTGAAATGCTTGAGTAGACATGAAAGTAGACATTAGGGTGGGCAGCTGATAGAAGTATTAGGAATTCAGAGGAAAGAAAGGCCCAGCTGTGGACATTTGGGATTTATGAGCATCTAGATCCAGTGTGAAGCTATGAGGCTCATGAGATAACTTAGGAAGACGGTGTCGGGGACACAGGTGTCGGTCTGCCTGGGGTATGCCGTCATTAGAAGGGGCAAAGGCGGTAGAAGCGGGAGTGGCCGGGGAGGCTGGAGCAGAACAACGCGTGGACGTGCAGAAGCTGGGGGGAAACGGGTGCTGGGGATAGGGGCAGTGCCCCACGCAGAGGTGGCGAAGGCGGGTGGCGTGGGCAGCGTGTGGAGTGGGAGCCGATGGGAGAGGGCAGAGCAGTGCGGAGCTGGCGTGGCGGGCTCCCGAGGGTTGGCTGTGAGTGCCATTGGCGGGGCTTTGTGGGGTGAGGGCAGTGGGTGACGAGAAGGTTTCAGGAGGAGACGGGGGGAGGGGGTCGCTTGTCTGCTGTATCACAAATGCACGGTGCTTTTACAAAGCAGTTTGAATAAGGGCCCAGAAATGGTTTTTCAAACCATGCGGCCCATATAGAAAATACAGGGCTATCTTAAGATATGGACTCACTTTTCCACATGTAAACACCAGTTTTTACTAGTTGAAATACACAGGTGAAAAGACAGCTTCAGAAATAATTATTAGATTTTATTTTTTTTAAAAGGTGGCAGTTTGGGAATTTTTCGTATTTTCCTCTCACTCAGTGCCCATGCTTTACCCTAGGAAAGTGGAAAGATAATTAAGTAGGGCTTTTAGGCGCCTAAAAACTAGAGCAGAGGCGGTATGAAGCAAGTTGAATAACAGTGCACAAAGCACTTGGGAAGGGGCGGCCTCGTGGTGCACGCCCACCGTGGCTCTGCTAAGGGCGCGCTGAGCAGCCTCGGGGCTGGAGAGCTAGAGACAACGCCTCAGCACAGAGTGCTGCACGCTGGGAGCAAAGTGGCACGTGCCCGGCAGGGCTCAGTTTGCGACGGGGTCACTAGACACAGTGTTAGGCAACGCACTGAGTGTCGAAAAGATGGTCCTCAGTCCCACACGTGCTTCTCGTTACTTTGGGCAAAGTCACCCAGATCCTAAGGAGCCTCGGTTCATTCGGTTGGATATGTGAGGGCAGCTGTGAGGAGCACCGGGAGACGTGCCTCTCATTCGTTGGGTGGGTGGGTAGCATGCACAGGACTTCAAACTTGAAGTAGGTAGAAATTCTGGCATTGAAAGCATGTGTGAAGTCTGCAGATTTGGGGGCTGTTCCATTGTGAACTCTCAGAAGGAAAGGCCAGCCCAAGGGTGTTGATCTTATTTGGGACATGAAGAAGGATCCTAGGGTCACAGGTTAAGATGTCCTTCTAGTAGTTTTGGCGGTTTTGTGGGTATTCTTTTTGTTTTGTTTTTTGAGAGGCTGCATATTAATATCTCTTTAGACGCAATTGTGAGAAGGTTTAACATTTACACGAAGCCATTTTTATTCGTAGGAACCCAGATGCCCTGCAGTGTCCCATCGTGATGTGCGGGTGGCGGGGCAAGGCCTCCATCCGAACGTTCGTGCCCAAGAACGAACGGCTTCATTATCTCAGGATGATGGGGCTGGAGGTGTCGGCAGAGAAGAAGAGCGAGGGGGCTGTGCTAGCAGGCGAGGAGAGTGCAGGCGGTGCCGGGCAGCCGGAGGACCAGGCGAGCGAGGAGCGGAGAGCAGAGGAGGACGGCTGTGACTGCAACGCGGCAGCAGGCTGTCACCCGGACACAGACGCGGGCTGCAACTCCAACGCGGCAGCAGGCTCTGACCCGGACACAGATGCGGGCTGCGACTCCAACGTGGCAACAGGCTGTGACCCGGAAACAGATGCGGGCTGCGACTCCAACGTGGCAGCAGGCTGTGACCCGGCCGGGGCCGAGCCGGCCCGGTGAGCAGCCCCAGGCCAGCCCCCGCCTCGGTCATGGTCATCTGAAACCAAATCCAGAACTGATTCCGACCATTTCTAAAGATGCAGGCTGACGGTGATAGGCGAGGTCCGAGTGATCAGCTCTGCTTTCCTGTTCTTACAAAAGCTATTCTTGGGGCATCCCGGAGTTGCTCGCTTTGCTTTGTTTCTTTGCCCGAGCTGGGTCTAGTGTGTGTGCTGCTCTGCTGCTGGTCTTAGACTTTCGCTGTTAAAGTCGTACTTCTGTCGAGAAATAAAACTACCCTTGCAGAATTTGAGGTCCCTTTCGTGAAGCCTATATTGGTCTTAAGGTCCAGTATTTTTTTAATTATTATTTATAGAAAGAACCTACAACTCTATGAATTGTTGGGAAACTGTACTATAAGCTTTAATAATTGAGTTTCACATTAGCAGTGTGACCTTATTATGCAGTGGGGTTAATATCTGAGGCCTCAGATGACTTCCGTGCCTTTTGTAATAAAGGATAAAATAAGATGTTTCTCAAAGTAAGAGCTGTATCGTGAATTGTGATACTAATTATGGGGGAATTTTATGTGCTTTTATGGAATGAAGTGCTTTGCAATTTTTATTTTTAAATGGGGCTTGGGATCCTTGGAATATTTAAATAAAATTATTAATGATAATGTGTATATTCATATGATTCTTGTTTTTGTTCTCCTGAGGCAGAAAGAACAAGTTTCTTCCTTTTTGGCTAAATGGAAATGTTAGAATTGCAGCCCTCTTTCTTTATCTAGTGAGAGCAGCTGCACCTCGAAGGCTGGTCCTGAGTGAAGTCGGCTGTCCCGCGAGAAGCACCGCACTGAGGCGCTTTCCCGTGGTCGGCCTCTCCTGCCTGGAGGGTGCAGACTGGGGGCCCCGGGTGTGGGGGGGATGGGCTCCAGGCCTCTCCTGCCTGGAGGGTGCAGACTGGGGGCCCCGGGTGGGGGGGGGATGGGATCCAGGCCCGGGGTGGGGGGGGTGGGATCCAGGCCCAGGGTGGTTCCCTCATGCCCGGGCTGGCGGACCTGTCCGTGAGGCTCATGGGCAGGAACTGCCTGGCACCTCAGTCCGTCACACTCACTGACGGGTTCTGGGGCCGGTGACACCTTATCCAGACAATTTCAAACCTTCGCCACCCTGCAGCAGGGCGGTGGGTGGGCCTCAGGCCGGCGCCTGGCCTCAGCGGTCGCCAGCACAGCGTTAGGGCGTCGGGCTGCGCAAACCCAGACCGCACATTGCGTGGGGTCGATTCGTCTCCTGAGTGTGTTTTGAAAAACTGTAACTCACTGGTATGTGGAGCTCCTGTTTGCCCCTCACTTGAATTCTCTAGTTAACATTTTCCACATGTGCACGAGCATCTCTGTGTGTACATAACTCAGTTTTTTCTGAGCCATTTGACAGCCAGTTGCACACATGTTCCAGTGCGCCTTGCTACTTAGCGTGTCTTCCCTAAGGAGAAGGCCCTCTTCACTGCTCCCAGCACGAGCATCAGCAGGAGCGCTTGATGCAAGTCGCCAGCTGACCTGCGAGCTCGCTAAAAGTGCCGTGGGCCCAGCAGTGTCTCCGCGACTTGTCTTTGCCATCTTGTCTCCCGAGTCCACTCCCATCCGGAATAATTCCCAGCCTCACGGCTGCGATCCAGACAGCTTGCAGGGTCCAGGTCAGTTCTCTGTAGAATGTCTTTTGGTCTAATGTGTCCCCACAGTCGATGCATTTTTGGCAAGAGTAGCACAGTTCTTTGCACGGCAGCCTGTCAGGAGGCTCACGATGTTGGTTTTTCTCCTCGTATTGATGTTAAGTTTCACTTAGGGTGGTGTCTGCCCGCCATGTCTCTCCACATGGAGAGTTAGTATTTTGCAGGGAGATATTTCAAGGCTATATATTCACACTTTTAACTGTCAACTTTAGCATCTCTTGATAATTTTTCTCTTAACTGATTTTTACCATGGTAGCTGTAAAATGATGATTTTCTGCTTTATTATCCCTTCTCTTTTTTTTTAATTTTAAATTTCTTTTTTATTTTTATTTTCCTGAGTAGCTTACACCTAAGGCATAGAATCCCTTCTCCATTATTACTTTTCATTCTATACTAAGTGCTCTATCCCCTATTTGTTTGTTTATTCATTTATTGATATTAGTATGGATTCAAGGATTCCACTTTATTCAGTCAGTTCTAATCTGTTAACTGTCATTTATTTTGATGCTCAAAGTGCTCCTGAATGGCCAGTGGGAGCTGCTTCTAGTTGCTTCCAGTGTCCTGCATGGCCCTATCATCTCTTTTGGCACAATGGGAGATCCCTGGCTCCTTTTGTGAGGCTTGTTAGTTAGACCCCCAAGATCTGGCGGTAGGTGTGTTCATTGCTACTGGGGTATCATTTCTCACCCTCAGCAGACATTAACTAGGAAACAAATATATCTGTGTGTACACACACACACACACGTGTATATATAGTTGTCCCTTGATATCCATGACCCCCTGTGAATACCCAAATCCATAGATGTTCAAATCCCTGATATAAAATGATAACAGTATTTGCATATAATGTATGCACATCTTGTATGTTTTAGATCATCTCTAGATTACTTAAAATGCCTAATACAGTGTGAGTGCTATGTAAACAGTAGGTACAGTGTATTGTTTAGGGAATAATGACAAAGAAAAACGTCTACATGTTCAATGCAGACGCAGCCATCCATGTTTAGATGTATATGTGATTTTGATCTGCGACTGGTTGAATCCATGAAAGCAGAAACCTTGGATGCGGAGGGCCGGCTGTTCATACACCTGGTCTACCTACGTTGTTAAAAGCCACGTCACGCCAGTGCGTCCGATCCCAGCACAGCACGCTGGGTTTTCCTGCTGGTGCCTCTTCTGTGCTTACAGCTCCCTCTCTGGTGGCAGGCTGCATGCCCCGATTTCCTCACTGCATTTACAACATTGTTTGACCCTTGCATATACTAATTACCTGTTTTTTGCTGGGGCTGGACCATCAGACCATGGCTCTCCAAAAACTCACCGGCTGTGCCAGGGCCAAAAAAACTTCAGCACCCTTCCTCCACGCCCTGTCTAGTGACACTCGCTGTCCCAGTCCCTGGACTGGAGGTGCTGGGCAGGGAGGGGAGGGGGCCTGGTTGCCCACAGGTGCGGAGGGGTTTAGTGACTGCATCCCCCACCTCAGCTCCCAGAATGTTTGGGGCAGCCAGACCTTGTTCTCCAGAAGGGGGTTACTGCAGAACGCTTCTCTGGTGAACCTGTCCAGCTCCAGAGAAGCCCTAAAGATAGTGGCTTCAGGGCTCCCAAGGAATGGCCCACTCCTGTCACCCTGTGGTGACACTCAGAGATGCGGTGGTTCCAAGGCTCGTTGCTGCCAAAGTGCCGTGAGCCCCTCGCTTAATTGAGAGCAGACAACCCGGGGTCACCGGACATCTGAGAACAGCCTCCAGCTTTGAATATAGGGATCGAAGCAAACAGAGAAGCCACCAGCAAGAAGCACAGACTACACAGGGTGAAAAATACTTGCTTAAAATCCTGTTCATCGGTAAAGTGGACAGTGATGACGGGGCATGGCTAAGCCTGATGAGATTATTTAAAGAACAAGGAAAGGATATTCCTAACACGAATGGTTACACGGAAGTGTTTTCTTTCTTTTTTCTTTTTTTGAAGACAAGGTCTCCTCTGTTGCCTAGGCCGGAGTGCAGTGGTGTCATCGTAGCTCACTGCAGCCTCGAACTCCTGGGCTCAAGTGATCCTCCCACCTCAGCCTCCCTGAGTGCTAGGATTACAGGTGTGAGCCACCATGCTGGGCTCTTTCTCTGATTTTAATCAACACTTTGGCAGGGTGCCGATCCACAAAGAGTGCATTGCAGAAGAAAAGACACTGGCTGAAGCAGGATTTCTCAGCCCTACCTAGACAGGCTTGTCTGTGACCAGGGTCTCTGAAGTCACCCCATGGATCTGGTGGGTGGAGTATAAACGGGAGACAAACTTTCTACTTAAAACCCTTTGTTCCGAACCTCTGAACTTTGAAATACTTATTAAGAAGGTGAATAAAATAAATTTCCTAAAAAAGAATGACAAACGTGACATTGACCCAACGAGCTAGCTTCACACACCTACAGATGTGTAAGTGTGTCTGCAGTGTCATTCGATGCAAGGTGATTTACAGCAGAAGACCAGGAAGCCCCCTGGTGACCAGGGCCCTGGGACATAAGTGGTACAGCGCCACCTGCTGGAATGCTGCAGCCACCAAGGGGGTTGAAGCGGCTTTCTGTGTCCTGGAGTCTAATAACCACCGAGAAAGAGGAAGGCAAGTGCAGTCAAGAGTGTTTACTCTGTTGCCATTGGGGTAAAAGGCAGAGATACACAGGCTTCTAGACAGACAATCAGACTTCTGAAGTTTCATAAAATGAAAGATACAGAAGTTGACAATATTGTTTGGCTCTGGGCAGGGGATCCACTGTGGCCCCAGGCCCAGGTTAGGAAAGAGATTTTAAATACAGATGCTCCTCAACCTAATGACCGGTTATGTCCTGAGTTGAAAATGGATTTAATACACCTCACCTACCGGACGTCATAGCTAGCCTGTCCTAGCTTAAACGTGCTCAGAACACTTTCATCAGCCTGCCGTTGGGAAAATACCTGGCAACTCAGTCTGCTGTAGCCTTGTGGTCACATGGATGACCAGGGGCTGCAGCTCGTGGCTGCTGCCAGTGTCACGAGAGAGTATCTACAGCGCATCATTAGCCCAAGAAAAGATCAAAATTCCAAGTCAGTTTCTATTGAATGCACACGCTTTTGGACCATCACAAAGTTGAAAAATCATAAGTCAAACCATCATAAGTTGGGGACCATTTATGTTGAACCATGGGAATCTTAGACCTATGTAATAAATAAGTGAATGATGAATAAATGAATAAGTGATGTAAGAGATATTTGTGCATATGTGAGTCCAGAGGGCAGAGTTCTTAGTGGACATCCATGGCCTCTCTATATATATATTTATATATATATATTTTCACATTAATAAAACATTTATATGTGTTTTGTTTTTGTTTTTGAGACATAGTCTCACTTTGTTGCCTGGGCTAGAGTGCCGTGGCGTCAGCCTAGCTCACAGCAACCTCAAACTCCTGGGCTCCAGTGATCCTCCTGTCTCAGCCTCCCGAGTAGCTGGGACAACAGGCATGTGCCACCATGCCTGGCTAATTTTATATATATATATATATATATATATATATATATATATATATATTAGTTGGCCAATTAATTTCTTTCTATTTATAGTAGAGATGGGATCTTGCTCTTGCTCAGGCTGGTTTTGAACTCCTGACTTTGAGCAATCTGCCCACCTCGGCCTCCCAGAGTGCTAGGGTTACAGGCGTGAGCCACTGTGCCCGGCCTATATGTGTTTATATATGTGTTTCACATTAGCAGATGGAACTCCATTCTCAGAGCACTTCTCAGGAAACAGGACACCGGGCTGTGTGTGTCACTCACTTTGGCGAGCGCTGATCGGCCTGGCGTGGAGGGCCAGAGCCTCGACTCCTGCCCTGCTCTGGTGGCCTGTGTGCCTCTGGGGTGGCCCCGAGTCCCCTGCCTCCAGGACTCTGCCCTTGTGCATTTCTCTAGGGGTGTGGG